TGCTTGGCTATGCTTGTTACAGGGAGAAGGGGGATAGGGAAAGTTGTAATGGTGATGTCAAAGAAAAGAAATAAGAGGAATCATTGAAACATTTGAAAAAGTACACAGAGGAATACAGAAAGAAATTCAGAAGGAAGCATAGACAAGGAGGACAGTTTCGAAAATAGGTTATGTGGGTTTTTTAAAAGCAAGTGGTATGATAAATTCAGTTTCATATGTGATAATCTTTTTGTCTTATCTTTTCTGTAGAAATACTCATTTTTTGATGTTAAATTAATTTTTTTTGGTAAAAAGAACTGTTGACCAAACAATATTAAAATGAAGTTTGGAATTTGGATATAATGTTAGTGATATGGCAGAATGGCATTAGTCAGGACAAACGGGGAGAATATGCTTCCTTCTTTACTGCTTTGTCTCTCCCATCCTTCCTCCAATTGCACACCACCCCTGTGTAGAGGCCTATCTAACGAAATAATTATTAATTGAATTAATAATTGTTTTAGTCAGGATAGGTTGTTAAGTACACTAGCACAAAACTTTTAATAACAGAAAAGATAGTTCACTGCTCTAAATGCTTTAATTCAACTTGTAAAGTTTTAGACCTGACTTGTGTATAATGTCAGTTATTTCCCATAGAAATTGCAGTGTTTCCTGTAGCTTTTGGTATGGTCAATCTACTTCAATTATTTAAACTAAATAGATAATAATAAGATAAAAATAATTCAGATACTCATTAAAGATAATTATATCCTTATTTCATCATGTAATTTGGGGGGAAAAGACAATATAACCTACTCGTACTAGTGTTGTTTAGTTACTCTTTTGTGTGTGGTGTTGCTCAGTCGTCACTAACTCCTTGTGACCCCATTTGGGGTTTTCCTGGCAAAGGTAATGAAGTGTCTTGCTGTTTCCCTTTCCAGCTCATTTTACAGATGAGGAAACTGAGGCAAACAGGGTTTAAGTAATTTGCTTAGGGTCACACAGCTAGAGGCTGGATTTGAACCCAGGTCTTTCTTACCTAAGCCTGGCACTCTGTCCTCTTAATCACCTAGCTGCCCTTATTGGTAAACTTAGGTGTAGGGTTTATGTCTAATTTTAATGTCAAATTTAATTTTGACATTTTAAAAATAAAAATTTTATTATAAACTTAATATAGCTTTTCCAGGGTGATTTGATGGACAGAATGCTGGCTCTAGAATCTGATTTCAAATCCTGCCTCTCACACTTAATATGTGTGTCATCTTGGGCAAGTCATTAACTTTCTTGGGCCTCCATTTCCTAATCTATAAAATGAAGGGGATGGCCTCTGAAGTCCCTTCCATCTCTAGATCTATTGTCCTATAACAAAAATAAATAATCAGAAAAACAGACAAGATGAAGAATAAGATTTTCTCACTATTATCATTTTGGAAGATAGAATTTACAAATAAAAAAGACATTTTTGTTTTGTGTTCCTTTTCAGATTTGTATGAAATTCTACCTTTGGTTTAGTTTCTTTCTTTGTTTTTTAAATATATAATTGTTGTCGATGTTTATACAGGTCTGGTTCTGCTGTTCTAATTTTGCATCACATAAATCAATCAAGAAGTTATTAAATGCCTAATATGTGTTAGGCACTCTGCTAGGCACTGGGGATACAAATACAATACGTGAAACAATCCTTACTTGAAAGGAGCTGACTTTTAGTGGAGGAGACAACAAGGCCATAGATACTTTGAAAAAATAAAAAGTGAATCCGTATTTCCTTGTATATTTCATATTTCTATTTTTGGCATTATAATATTCTGTTATATTAATATGCCATAATTCATCTTCTCTCCAGTTTTTGATGTATTGGTTGACTGTAATTTTTGTTGTTTCATGTAGATGACTTTTAAGTATTTTTATAAATGGGCCATTTTTCAGTTTTTGCGGTATTTTAAGATTAAAGGCCTAATAATGAAATTTTAGGATTGAAGGGTTTGTGGCCCATAGTATGTTGTATGTTGTTTTCCGGAATGTATGCCAGTCCTGTCAAGTAATATATTGGAGTGTTTATTTCCCCACAGACCTATAAACATTTAATTTGATCATTTTTTGCTATTGAATAGCTGCTTTCAAACATGTTTTATAATAGATTGAGAGGCCAATTGCAAAGATGTTCCCTAAGTTATGAATATTTATCTTATGAACATCTGAACACATCGATGAAGATTGTTCCATAACCCTTAATTCAAACTGTCTTCAGTTTTGTGATGTATCATTTAGTGGCAGTTAATACCAAGTGTTTAAACCCAGTCCTCTTTTCTTGACTGTCTTAGTTACTTCAAGAAGAGTACACTGTAATTCTCTAGTCTCCCCTCCCTCTTTATTCTGTTTTTTATTTTTCATAGATTAGTTCTTCCTACTCCAGGTTCATGTCTTTTCTGCTTATATATACACACACATACTTTTAATTCCTTTATTTCTAACTTTTACCTAATTTCACTAAGAAAAATGGCTCTCATTCTATCTCCTTTCCAGATTTCCCTAAGATATTTTTAACTGTCCCCAAAACCCAGTGCCTTTAATTCACTTCTCTGAGCCTCTCTCTCTTATCAGAAGGAGAAGAGGTTGAATTAGATGATTTACAAGGTCCTACCTTAGGTCTAAGACTTTTTGATCTTAAAAACATTTCAGGTCCTTTTTAGAATCTTTACAAGTCTTCATTGACCTCTCCTAATTTGCTGTTAAGTACCAACATTTAATATAAAGCATGATTTTTTTTTCTTTTTTGCTTTTTGGTGAGGCAGTAGGGGTTAAGTGACTTAGTCAGGGCCACATAGCTATTAAGTGTCAAGTGTCTGAGGCCAGAGTTGAACTCAGGTCCTTCTGACTCCAGGGCCAGTGCTCTATCCACTGCACCACCTAGCTGCCCCAAAGCATGAGTCTTCTAAAGAGGCTTGAGAGTATAATGAAAAGGGCACTGGTCTTGAGGTAAGAAGACATAGGTTTGTGTTCAGCCAGTGATGCTTGCTTACTAACTTTACCCTGAAGAAATCTTTCCTTTTTGTGCCCCACATATCATTATCAGAGAAATGAGGGAGAACAGGGAAATACTTAAATCACAGGATTACTTTGAGGAAAGCATTTTGTAAACCTTTTAAAGCATTATGTAAATGTGAGCTATCTTATGTGATTTTTTTTGGTATTGTAACTATTATTTTCTACTGATACAGTAAATGTGCAATATTTATAATAGTACATTATAGATTAAATTGGTTTTGTGGTCCTTCTTGTGAACCTGACCACCATTTAGAACAGGCCTGCACAACTTGCAACCCATGGGCCGCTTATGGCATGCCAAAGGATTTTGGGCAACCTTTGAAAAACATAGAGGAAAATATCTTTGTATGTAGAGGAAATCCTTTGGTGTGCTGTAGGCAGCCTAAGCGGCCCACTGGCCACGAGTTGTGCACGCCTGATTTAGAACATTGTTTCTGTGAGAAAAATGTGTTGAGTCCAAATTAAAATGTTTGTTGAATTAAAATTTGTAAATTAGAGACCATTTATATTGATTCAGCAATAGAAAGAATGACAAATTTATAGTCTGAGAACCTGGGTCCGTGTTCCCATTTTGCCATTTGCTGCTTGTGAGACTTGGGGCAGATCCCTTAACTTTTCTAGGCCGTAGCTTCCTTGTCTGGAAAATGAAGTAGTTGCTCTAGATGACCTATAACCTAGCTTTGTATTTTTTAAGAGTGTTATAGTTAGAAGATTATAATCTCATCACTAAAAGACTGGCCACTAATGGTTTTGTTGATGATAGTAGCTTATTGGGGGCAGCTAGGTGGCGCAGTGGTTACAGCACCGCCTCTGAAATCGGGAGGACCTGAGTTCAAATTTGGGCTCAGACCAAACACTTGACACTTATTAGCTGTGTGACCCTGGGGAAGTCACATAACCCCAATTGCCAAAAAACAAAATGAAAGACAGTAGCAGCTTATAAATCATTTACTAAGGTGCACAGGGACTATGGCAGGGGTGTACTAAGGCAAGTTATAGAAAACTTGTGAGAGCCCATTGTTAAATTTTCAGTATCAACATTTACACCTCAGACATTGACAATTGCTACAATTCAGCGCTTGTTTGTCCAAATTAGAAAGGATTAATAATGCAGATTATACAGAAGAGTCTGTCTGAATACTTCCCTCCCGCCCCAAGCTGGTTTTCAAGCATTTATTAGTATATAGTTTTTCTGTACTCTCTGAGAAGATTAAAATTGATCTTGTATCATTTTCTTATTGATTCTATTTACAATTAATTGATTTTGTCCTGTAACTGCTTTTGTCCTATAATTGCTTAAGTCATGGTTCTTTTGTCTCTAAATTTCAGAATTCAGCTGGCCTGTAATGGCCTGTAATTTTAGAAATCCCACTCTCTTACTAATCACTGATCTATTCTTGCTTTAAGGAATTTAGCTGTTCTTGGGGAATGTGTGTGAACACGAATGAGTTGGGTCTAGTATCTTTACACCATGAAGTCATTCTTCAGGGATGTCTGGTTTGCTGTCCAAAAGAGACCAGTCTGTTATCTTTCAACCTTGCACTTGGACTTAAACAATGAGTATTTCTTAGGCAATGGGAAAAGAGAGGGTTGTTGCCACCCTCCATTACCAAACTTCACTGAGCCTTGGCTCTGTAACCAGTCATGTTGTCCTCAATCCCTGATGTCATCTGCCTTATTGTGTTCTTTGTTCTGTATTCCTCAAAATCCATAAAAGGGGAACTGTCCTTTTCCTCGGGGTCTTTGGCATAAATGGAGGTAAATCATCGACCCATTTATTGACAAGCAGCATGATAAATGTTATTTTGCTTGAAGAATTGTCTCAGTTTACCCTTCGTGTTAAATTTAACCCATAATGCCGTGTTGATTAAACTGTAGAGAATTTGGAAGTATTGATGAAATAGTAGATGTTGTATTTGTGTTTTTTTGTGAGGGAATTTCCCAGATAGTCACTTTCAATGTCTTATATGTTACAGGAAGGAAAAACTCCTCGACAGTGTTTGAAGGAAGGAAACTGCAAAGCTTTGAAATATTCATTCTTTGAATGCAAAAGGTCAATGGTAAGTGGTTATCCAGTAAGCTAGAAATTAGAAATGGTGAGATATTCATTTGATGAATTGCGATTCAGTTGTTTTATAAGCTATACTAAGGAAAAATATGTCGAGGTAATTTTTTCAATTTTCTTACTTAGTGGTGAAAAATTCCTTGCAATGAGTGAAAAGTCAAGTGACATTTGAGTGAATCTCACAAACTATTGCAGTTGCTGAAAATCTCTGGTATTATTTTGCTTCTACCGTTCTTTAATAGTAGTGTTAATTATCCAGCCTATTTGTTCTTAGGAGTTTTAATAAGTGTCATATTAGGTCTTGGTGAGAGTAGGTGGGCAAAAGTTGCTTTAAGTCACTGAATTCGAGCTAGTAAGTACCTGCTCTGAGCCTGGTCTTGTGCAGATATGTGAAGGAGAGAAAGGTTCTGGCTTAGAATGATTAGAAGCAGTGGAAGTGACTTGGGAAGAATGGAAAGAATGTCATTTACCAGTGTCGAAGAAGTTAGAGGTTTGGCCATCTATGAAACATTATATAAGTGGCAAAAGAAAATTCAAAAGGGGAAACAGATGAGCAAAGTAATATTGTCATTGTGTTAAATTTAATAATATATACTTTAGAAAACAAGCTTTGTAGTAGAGATTCACAGTTTCTTACACAATCATCTTTTTCTTTGTGTGTGAGAATGTTTGTTGATTTTTCAGTTCATAATAAAAAAGAATATTAAAAATGAAGTTAGAAGTCTGCTCTAAGATCTTTTCAAGCTTTACAATTCTGTAATTCTCTAAAATAAAAGATGATACAGTGAGAGCAAGTGAGGAAAATTTTTGGCAGGATGATAAGATTTCTGGAAGACTTCTGGTGCTCTAAGACATTCATTCCTGGGGAAAAGGATGTATAGCCCACTTAATGTTAATAATTATTCCAGCTCATATTTTTAAAATACTTTTAAGGTTTGCAAAGTGATTTCCTCATAAAAACCCTGTGAGGTGGATAGTAAAGAATTATTATTCCCATTTTAAAGATGAGAGATTAAGAGGTTAAGTTTTAAACACAAAGAGATTAAGATTAAGCTGAAGGTCACCCAGGTAATTGGGTTCTTAAACCTGGATCATCTCACTTAAAACTATTGATGGAGAGAATCGCACCACAATGTCCACTCTATCCATTAAAATCTACTTTTAATCCCAAACTAGTTTATATTAACATGATTGATATACTGGGGAACATTTTGAGAATAAGGTGAATTTAGAGTTTGTTTCTGAGTGATTTCTTCCTTGAGAAACAGCAAGAAAACTAAAAATTGCACCACTCACAATAATTCACAAGCTACAATCCTTCTGATGCCCGTTTCCACAAGCAAACTTGACGTCTTTGTCCAGGTAAAGTGCGTTTTTGGTGCAGTTTGGAGCTGTAAGCAGAGCAGTGCTGCTGTCCTCACCCCACCCTTTTATGCCGACCTCTAGCTTCCTAGGCCCAGACCCGGAGTTGCGGCCTGCCCAACTTGCTTGTGCAATCGGAAGCATAGACCAAACAGTTGCAGCTCGAGGCCAAGGACATGGCAACTATTTATTGTAGTACTTATGTATGTCTTAACCATTTGACATACGTAAAACTATGCTTTATTTATGTTTTACTGATGAAGTTTTTGAACATTGTGCTCCAGCCCCGTTTTCCCCATAAGATAAGTGGGGTTTTTTTGTGCAGTTTTGCATATCAAGGTGTTTTTTTGTGTCATGCTATAGAAGAACTCACAGTATATTTTAATATTTACCTAAGCAAAATTCAATTAGCTTAACTGTGAGTCTCTATTTCATATAGCTTGTTTTCTAAAGTATATATTAAGTTTAACTCAGTGGCATGAACATTACCCTACTTATTTGTTCCCTTTTTAATTTTTTTTTTTGCTCTTTTTGCAATGTTTCATTGATTTTATCTTTTCCAGAAAACAACATAAATAATTTTGTAGTTTTCTGTGTTCTTACTTCCCTGCATTGGTGCTAATAACGTAGAGTTGGCTACCACCCACAGGATCATAGGTTGAGAACTGGAAGGGACCTCATAAGCTATCTAGTTAAGTTTCTTCCTTCTCCTGCCTCTGTTTGACAGATGAGGACAGTAAAACCCAGGTGATTAGGTGATGTACCCACCATCATATAAGAAGGAGTATCTGAGGCAGAGTCAAACCCAGGTCCTTTGAACAGAACCAGTATTGTACCATGCTAGTTTTAAAGAAAATGATTGCTGGTTTAATTTTAAAGACACTTTTTTTTTTGTTTGTGTGCGTTTGTTTTTGCCTAGGCAGTGGGGTTAAGTGACTTGCCCTGGGTCACACAGCTAATAAGTGTATGTGTCTGAGGTCGTATTTGAACTCAGGTCCTCCTGACTTCAGGGCTGGTGCTCTATCCACTGCGCCACCTAGCTGCCCCTAGATAAACTTTTAATTGTAACTTCTGTACCCATTACTTTGTTTTTTCAGGTGGGTGGTGGGAAGGATATCTCTAGTATTTGCTTTGCCTTGTCCTGAAGTTTAGTTTGTTTTACTCTTAATATGACAGCCCTTAATAGAAGTTGTATTCAGTAATGTATCTTTTACAAGATGTTTGATTTAACTCTTTTTGTTTTTAGTTGGATACCAGATCAAGATTCAGAGGAAGAAAAGGATATTGACGCTTTTCTCTTAGAACCAAGATTGAAACAACATGGGTTCATCATTTAGAAAGCATGGCTATATTTTCACTTCATACATTCAGTTGAACAATTTTGTCATTGTTTTTTAAGGGAAAAAAGAAATGAATCCTGCTTTTTGAACACTGACGGAAATTGATCTGTGTTCAGCTTAATTAAACAGATGTAAAATATGCGTATAATAAATTTTCAGAATTCTAAACAAATTAATTTTTAGAAAATTTATTCAAATGACAAAGACCATATTTCTAATAATACTAGCTAGATCAGTGATATAATGGATGCTGCAAACATAACTTGGAACTGAGTGGGAAAATGTACAGAAAGTTTACTTAAATCGTTCTCTTTTTTTGTCCTCAAACTTCTAAGGTTTAAATATAGAGAGTTGTGTTCAGCTTCTTGGAGAGATAATTATATATTCCTAGTTGATCACTTTGAGAATTTAAAAAAAAACTTTACCCTCAGTTATGTTTTAACTTGAAATAACAAAGTCATCTTTTTAGTTAATTTTGTTAATTTTTTTGAAGAAAGTGGACTGCTATTCTATTTTTTAAAAAGTTATTAGGAAAGTAACAATTTCTGTTCTAATCATCAGCTTGAACAACAGTAACAAAAAGTTATTTTTTTAAAAAAAAGACCTGGCTAGACTTGAGAATAGATGATAAAAGTTGTATACCCAAGGTAAGATGGATTTTTAAAAGTAATTAAAATGAAAAAATTATCTTCAGCATTAGAGAATAAGTGTAGAAACTAAAGTATTACTTTAAAAACTTGAGATCATAGCAGTTAGTCACTAGTCTCTGCTTTGATATATTACAAAAGGACTGTTTTTTTCTAGTGTAAAAGTGAAAGTTTAAAAAACTTTTTCTTTGATAGACCCTATGTAATCTGTGTGAAAGTTGTCTGTGTCATCTCCCCGTATTATTCTCTTGTCCTTCCACAGATGCTCCCTAGAGGAGCATCAAATGCACGGAGGGCCTTCCTCCTGTTCTTTTTAACGTCTGGAAGATGCCATTATAGAACTCTGGCTATCTGGGTGTTGTCTTTCATTCTTACTACCTGCCTAGTCAGTCTTTTATTCTCATCTTTTCCTAAGTGATATTTTTTATGGTCCTTCTGACATGCAAATTAAGGTCTACTTATTTAGATTGTCATCATCATTGATGATATGTCATATGATTAGAGGAATATTGTGTTAAAGAGATGGATTTTTGCAGCACTGAGCAGCTTGGGATCCCTTTGGATTCCCAAATACTATCTAACCCAGTTTTCTCCTGCTCTCAGATCTAGGCCAAACTCACTGCCTCATTGTAGTTCCCCTTCAAGATATTGAGTATGTTTAAAGAAGTTAAATTGATACAGCATTCCTAAAAAATGATGAGAATCATGTGTCCTGTACTTAAGGACAGATTTCTCCTTTGAAGGAGGCAGATGTCATCAGTCACAAAATAGCATTTGTTAAAGCAGCCACAATTTGCCAAGAGGCTATTTTATAGAGTTAGGAAAAACTATGTTTCTTTCTTCATTCAGCAGACATATAGAAATAATCCAATTCAAATATATCCTTTGTGTATGGCAGTGCTAGACCTCTTTTATCTAGCTTTTTTAGGGAATAAGGTGTTCCATATAAGTGAATTTTCTGAATAAGTATAAATATCCTTTTAAATTACCCAATTTTAATACTTCCTGGTTTCTTAGAGCATACTGGACATCAATTCAATTCCAAAAGCATTTATTAAGTAACTCTTTTGTGAAAGATACTTTATTAAGAATTGGGGATACAGAGATGAAATACAATACAGTTCCTGCACACAAAGAAATGATAATCTGTGTATATTAGCAATAATAAAGTAATATGTATTTTTATATGCTTATTATAAGTGTATTTAAAATATTTCTCTGCAGGAAATAATGATATTAACATTTTCTTAATGACAGTGTCATTCTCAATTATTTCATTCAGAAGAAAATAGTGATGACTTAAAGAGCTCTTGAGTAACATAGTAACACTTTGCCCCTGTACCAAATGACCTCAGTATGTTATTTTTAATACATCCTGCTTTTTGCAACTTTTCTGCCTTCCCTACCAAACTGTCAGTATATCTACCTCCAAAACCCCCATATTCCTTACTCCTTTTATTTCTTGTATCTAAACTACTGCTGTTTGATGACATAAAATGGAAAAAAAATTTGCAAAACAAAATTAGTGCAATTAAAATTAAAAGAGAAACTCAACTGAGAGAAAAACTTGCAAATTTCTTGGAGAAAGTTTGCTATCCAAGATGGGTATGTGTATATACACATATATATATGGAATTCATAGAAACATGAGAGCAAGAATCATTCTTCAATAGATAGAGGATATCAGCAGGCACTTTTCAGAGGGAAAAAAGGCAAGCTACCAACAACCATAAAAAAAAATGCTTCAAAATACTAGGAGAAATACAAGTTAAAACCACTTTGGTCCCCCAGAATGTTTGTTGGATTGGCAAAGATAACAAAGTTCCACCTGGAGGAACCGTGAGAAGCACACTAATGCACTTTTGGTGAATCAATAGTTCAACCATTCTGGAAAGCATTTTGGATCTACATCCCAAAAGTCACTGAACATGCCTACCCTTTGGCCCTTTGAAACCATATGAGGCTTATACACTAAAGAGACAGCAGGGTATAATGGAAAGATTACTGGACTTAGAGGCAGAAAGACATGAGTTCTAATATTGCCTCACAAACTTAGTAGCTATGTGAATGAGTTATTTAAACTTTGGACATCAGTTCCCTCATTTGTAAAGTGAGGAGATTAGACTTGAAAGCTTCTAAGGACTCTTTCAAATCTAAATCTGATCTAAGATCCTATGAGGAAAAGAGAGAAAATACACATATAAAATATTTGTAGCCACTCTTTTTATTATAGCAAAGAACAATAAATTCTCCATTAGTTGGGGATAGCAAAAGAAATTATGGCAAATGAATATAGTATAATATTATTGCACCCTAACAAAGAAGGGTGGGATTTATTTTGGGTGATTGTCCCTATTTATTACAAGATAGTGCTTTTATTTTACTCTTCATTTGAAGGCAGAGTTAGGGAGTGAGTGGTAAGAATGGCAATAGTAATACTTTAAGGAAGAAAAGAAAGAAAAAATTATTAATGAATCATTGAAAACAAGAGCAGAGGGGGATAGACAAGACAGTTTTGAAGCTACCATTTTAAATTTGAATTAAAAAAACTCCAAAGTTTACTTAGTGGGGAAAAACTGCAGCATATAATTCAAATTTAGTTTAGTCTCTCCCCCACCCCTTTTTTTGTTTTGTTTTTGGAGGTAATTGGGGTTAAGTGACTTGCCTAGGGTCACACAGCTAGCAGGTGTCTGAGGCTGGATTTGAACTCGGGTCCTCTTGACTCCAGGGCGAGTACTCTTATCTTCTGTGCCATCTAGCTGAACCCTTTTTTTTCCTGTAGTTCATGTTTGTTAGTATTCTTTAAGTACATTTTAATCAAAATATTTTATGAAAAATTGTTTACAATAAAAATTGTAAGTACTCCATATGAATGTAGTACAACATTACTGTGCTCTAAGAAATGGCCAGTGTGACAGATTGAGAAAAATCTGGTAAGACCCAGAAAGTAGTGAACAGAAACAGGAAAACAATTTATACAAAGGCTACAACTGCAATGCTTGAGAACTGTAATATGCAATAACCTCTTAGAATTCTCTAAGACTGGTGGTGAAGTATGATTACTACCTTTTGACATGGAGGTGCAGAATGAGACATAGATATGTGTACGGACAGCCAATGTGTGGGTTTGTTTTGTTTGATTATATTTATTACAAAGGAAATTTTTTATTTTTTTCTAGGAGAGAGTTATAAGAAACAGGTAACTGCTGATGGCTATAACAAAAAAGTACATATAATATATCTTAAAATACACAAGAAGAAATTTCAGAAGGGGACATAGACAAACAGAGCAGTGTTAGAACTACTGAGCTAAATTTAATTCATACTTCTTAGAAGGGCTGTCTGTAACAGAGATGTATGTGTTATACATAATCCTCTTTCTGTTTTTAATGTAAGGAAATGTTCATATTTGTCACTGTTTATAATTATAAGTTCATAATAAAAACAAAATTTAAAAACTAGTAGTTGAGAAATAGAATCTGAAAGATTTTTTTACTTTACTATATAATATTTTTGACCCTCAATTTTTTTTTGTGGGGGGGGAAAGCTACGTCATGGGGTTAAGTGACTTGCCCAGGGTCACACAGCTAGTAAGTGTCATGTGTCTGAGGCCGGATTTGAACTTAGGTCCTCCCAAATCCAGGGCCCGTATTCTATCCACTGCGCCACTTAGCTGGCCCCAATCCTCAATTTTGGAAGCCTCTCCTATGTATGTCAGGATTCTTAGCAGTGTTCCAAGTAGTTGAAGCTCCACTTAAGTAGAATTACATTTATGTAAATACAAATGTCAAAAACAAACTTATGAACAAGTGCCATGCTCTCAAATGACATTGGGAAGATCACATTCTTGAACTCGGCGTCTTCTGTGGCATAATCTCCTTTAGGGTAGAGCTAAAAGCTCATCTAGGCACATGATATTAAAAACGATTGTCCATTTAGGCCTGACAGTCTGGTAAATGAGTTCTGATTTTACCTTTGTCTGTGACTGGTTCTATATCCTTGTGCTAGTCATGTAAGCTGTCACCCTATTTTTTTTTAAAAAAAGGCTGTGCAGTTCAGTCATTTTTTCTGTCATGCCTTATCCTTCATGAGCTTATTTGGAGTCTTCTTAGCAAAGATACTGAAATGGTTTGCCATTTCCTCCTCCAGCTCATTTCACAGATGAGGAAACTAAGGCAAGAAAGGTTAAGTAACTTGCCCAGCGTCACACAGTAGGTATCTGCTACTGGATTTGAACCAGACCTGCAGACCTTGGCAGTAGGTAGGGGTGAAAATTGAAACAGGCTGAACTTCTTCAGGAGCAGATAAGGGTTTTTTTCTGCCTTTTTTTTTTAACTTCAACTGAAGCATAATATATCCTGCTCCAGCCTTTTACCTTTACCCTGTGTATGTCCCTCTTTCAAATGTGTTTCCTGTAAACAACGTATTGTAGAACTGTGGTTTTTAATACATTCTGCTATCTGCTTCCATTTTATGGGAGAGTTCATCCCATTCACATTCAGTTATGATTACTATCTGTCTTTCTCTCCATCCTTTTTCCCCCCGTTTATGTTTTTGTTTCTCCTTTTTCCTTTTCTCTCCTCACTAATGTTTTGCTTTTGACCACGGCCTCCCTCAGTCCTGTCTCCTTTCTATTAGCCCTCTCCCTTTTCTTCCCCTTTACTCTTACTACTTCTTCCCTCTTTCTATCCTCCCTCCCTTTTATTTCCCCTTTTCCCTCTTACTGCCTATAAGGCAAGTTAGATTTCTATATCTGATTATCTTATTCCCTTCTTACGGATAGGTTTTTAGCAGTTCACTTTCCAACTAAAAGTAACTGGAGACAGACTGACAATGGTTGGTTGCCACGGGTCACGTGACAAATGGAAAGTGAGCAGTGCCAATCTACCTGCCAAGTTACATGACAGGCGCAGTAGTAACTAGTAGAAGGTTGGTGAAGCAGGGCATGGACAAAGCCCTCTTACAGCTTTGTTTTCTTCTATATTCTCTACATTTTTAGCTGGCCACCTGAAATCCTTTGGCAGGGCACCAGTGACCCAAGGACCATATGTTCTGCAGGCCTGATTTGAACTCTTTTTGACTTCAGGCTCAGCACTCTATGCACTGTGGCACCACCTAGCTGCCCAGACAAGTGGTTAATACCTGGCATTTCCTATCACAGGAATATTGTGAAGATAAAATAACCAATTTCACAAAGGGAAGATTTTCACTCCCAGCCTTCTTAAAGGTGCATTTTCATTCGCTTTTAATTACATGGCAGTCATGAATGTGGTATTTTGTTCTTTTTTTAATAGTAGTGAGTCACTGCTTTAGGAGATAGATAGCTGGATTTAAAACCAAGAAGGCCTTGGTTCAAATCCCATCTTGTGCACTGTCTTTGTTGCTCTAAATGGCCAGTCACATAACATCTCAGTGCTCTTAGAAACTCTTAAACATGGTAAGCTGCGGAGAACTGGCCTACTTACGTTGGTAAAGGGACTTTGCTCACCTGAGGGGAAATTCTAAACTATCCAGTCCCTTTTTCAACAATGAGATTTTGTTATAAGGCTTTTCTTAACTAGTTGTGTTGATATGTGGAGTTACATCTGAAAGAGTAATATCCTTAACTCTAATGTTTGAGACATTCTCTGATAGATATGGTATCTCTAATAAAGTCCCAAAGATAGAGACACCTCTCAGTTGTCCTTGGTAGTTTATCTTCTTATTTGGAAACCTTATCAGTTTTTATTATTAGGTTGGTTTCTACTTGCCAGCAATTCGATTCGACAACCTTTTATTAACTTCTTACTATATACTTGTTAAGTATGCATAGGTAACATTGTTGGCCACATCCTGGATACACTTTTCCCCAAGTTTTCTTGGCCTTCCCTCACTTCTCTTCCTACCTGTCTGACTTTTTTTTTTGTGGACTAGGTAAAAGGGGCGGTTCTTTGCCTCATGTCTTACCTAGCCTTAATCACTGAATGGGTGTTGCCTCTTTCAAACTGAGCCCTCTCTCACTTAAATCCAATTCACTTGTGATGATGGCATCGCCTTCCCAATGTCATGGTCTCTGAGAACAAAGAACTAACAAGAGCCTATCTGTTTCTTAGTTTATGTCCATTCTAGGATCATTAACTGTGGGTTAACCTATGTCTGTATCCTGAGCCCTCTTCCCTTTTCTTTCTATACTCTTACTTGGTGATCTCATCTCTGCCCATATGCTCAATTACTGTCCCTTTGCCAATGAATGACTCATATCTATATCTACTTATATGTCTATATACAGCCCTGTTTTCTCTCCTGAGCTTCAGTCTTGCATAATTAACTGCCTGTTGTATATTTTGAACTGGTGTCTTTTTTTTTATGGGCTATCATCTTTTTTTTTTTGATCTGTAACTTTTTAAAAAATTTATTCATTTTTAGTTTTCAACATTCACTTCCATAAGCTTTTGAGTTTTTTGTTTTCTTTTTTCTTTTTTTAAAAATTAATTTATTTTAATTTATCAACAATCACTTCCATATGCTTTTGAGTTTAAAATTTTTCCCCCTTCCTCTCCACCTCCCTCCCCAAGACAGGGCACAATCTGATATGGGCTCTGCGTATACATTTCTGTTAAACATATTTTCACATTATTCATGTTGTAAAGAAGAATTAGAACCAATAGGAGGAACCACAAGAAAGAAGAAACAAAATAAAACATAAGAAAAAAAGAGAAAATAGTATTCTTTAATCTTCATTCAAACTCCATAGTTCTTTCTCTGGATGTTGATGGCATTTTCCATCATGAGGCTTTTGGAGATGTTTTAGATCCTTGCACTGCTGAGAAGATGGCTGTTACTGTGTACTGTGTTCTCCTGGTTCTGCTCACTTCACTCAGCATCAGTCTATACAAGTCTTTCCAGGTTTTTCTGCAATCTGCTCATCCTTTCTTATAGCACAATAGTATTCCATTACATTCATATACCACAACTTGTTCAGCCATTCCGCAATGGATGGGCATCCTCTCAATTTCCAATTCTTTGCCACCACAAAAAGAGCTGCTATAAATATTTTTTGTGCATGTGGATCATTTTCCCATTTTTATGATCTCTTTGGGATACAGTCCTAGAAGTGCTATTGCTGGGTTTCAAAGGGTATGCAGAATTTTATAGCCCTTTGCGCATAATTCCAAATTGCTCTCCAAAATGGTTGGATCACTTCACAACTCCATCAACAATGCATTGGTGTTCCAATTTTCCCACATCTTCTCCAACATTTATCATTTTCCTATTTTGTCATGTTAGTCAATCTAGTTGTTTTGATGTGCATTTCTGTAATCAATAGTGATTTAGAGCATTTTTTCCATATGACTATAGATAGCTTTATTTTCTTCATCTAAAAACTACCTTTCATATCCTTTGGCCATTTATCAGTTGGGGAATGCTTATCAATTTGACTTAGTTCTCTATATATTTTAGAAGAACTGGTGTCTTTTAAACCTA